AAATTTACATACATGCAAGTAGTGAGTTTCTTAATTAAAGAGCTGGTGTTCATGCTTCTGGGGATTCCTGTTGTGATTATGTACAAAGCAGCAGCAAGCTTGTCTCTGATTCCTGTTTGACCAGAAAGCAAACATGTCTGTGAAGAGTTAATAACTGTATTAAGAAACCAAAGAGCAGGAAAGCTGCATCTGCTTGAAAAGACATTTATTCTAACATGGTTTCCTTCAACACTGCAAGTTAAATTCTGTAGTTATACTTATTTTAAAAAATCATGCTTCTATGAGGGTGGGGAGTGTATTCTTAAGAGGACCAGTATGTTAAAGTTGAAATAATAACTGAGCCCAATTGTCTGATTTGCCAAGCCAGAGTTTTGCCTCAAATGCCTGGTTGATTTCAGACAGTCAAAAAGAGGAAATCTTACTTTAAGAATCTATTTTAGGCTGGTTTTAAAACTTTGTTCTTTAAATAATTTGTTTTGACTACTCAAATATATTAGCAGGTACTTAAATGTAGCTTTAAAACTGATTATTCTTTTTACATAGAGGATATTCTGTGTCTCTTCATATTCAAGAACTTGCACAGCTCTACACACTTTAAACTATGCTCCTGAGACAAGTATAGTTTGTCCTTTTCTGTCTTCTGGGTTTGTGGTAGTATTCTGTTTGTTTGGGCAAATAAGGGAGGTTTTTTTTTTTCAGTTTTTCTTTTTTTCTTTTATTTCTCCTCTAGTCTTTCTCCTTCCCCAACCTGAGCATCTTATTGAGTTTAACTGGATTCATTTGAATGGGCAAAATGCTGTTTTTCTGTTAGCTGAACAAAAGCTGAAACTCAGATGAGCAAAGGCCAAGAGCATTTCACACACTGGGAATGCCAACAGTAATCTGAATATACAGATGGCATAAAAATCACCAGGAAGTGGCAGTTATGATCACAATGTTATATTAAATTTTTTTTAAAAAAATTTTCCTTTATCTTGAGAAAATTTAAGCTCGAAGAGCAGAATGCTAGTTGCCTTTTTAAAAAAAACCCTCCTAAATTAACTAGTGTGGTGTAGAGTGGTGGCCAAGTGGGGCTGTGTTCTGCAGCAGGCTGTGCCCACAGGTTCCCAGGCAAGCTCCTGCTCATGCCTGGCAGCTGGTGCTGGCTGCTGTCCCTACAGGAGGAAAGTTTCAGTGAATCCAAGTTGGAATCTGTGTCACAGGTTTGGGCCATCGTTTTGAAATTTTTAAGATCTGTTATGATTTAGAACATCTCTTTGGGTTTGGCTTCATGGATGAGACGAATTTCTTGCTAGATAAAACAAGGGAATAAAAGAATTGCTTAAATAGTTGAGACTTGTGGCAGAAATTCTACACGCAGAATTAATGTTTTCATTCCTATGGGCTGGTTTCAGTTTATAGCTTACTTTGTTTATTTTACTCTTGGTTCTTGCTGTTTTGTTCCTTTGTTTTAAGGAAAGGTGGTGGAGCCGTGAGGACTTTAATATAAAATGACAGCCACATGTTCGTAGTTCAGCCATTAATGTAAAAGCTGAACTAAATTTAAGTCTAAACTTTCATATGTGTTCCTCAAATATTAAGTTAGCCATGTATTCTGTGTTTTCTTTAGTGTTGTTTTGTATGTGGGTGTGAATACTTCTTTGGTTGCCAAGATAAGTGAATGATATTATGATGGCAAAATGAAACTCGTGGGGCTGTTTCCCAGCAGACTCTGTGAAGTTCTCTTCTTATTTAAAACAAAACCAACCTTCCCCCAAAAACCTAGAATTTGTTTTAAAAACAACAGATGAGAGCACTGAAAAACACGATGCAGAATGAAACTCAGTGTTTTACCCTCATTTAAGATGCTTGGACTCAAGATGTGACATAATACAGGGTGTAAAATTGTGTTATGATATGTGGTTGCAAACAGGTATATTTTTAGTTAGCTGTAGTTAATTTTTTAGAACATTATTGTGGCTTAGGGGATCTTTGTAAATGTTTGTAGTAAAAAGGGAGGGGAAGAGAGCAAGTTGCAACCAGAATATTTATAATGAAGCACAAGCTAGTTGGGTTTTGGGTTTTCTGTTTTTTTGGGTTTGGTTTTTTTTTTTTTTTTTTTTTAAATGTGTTTCTCTTGACAGGACTTGTGAAGTATATAGGTTGTGAAATTGGGAGGGGGAAGCACATGGTCAAAAGGGTCAGGATAATATGGACAAAGGTAGCACTACGTGACTGAAGTGGATCAGCTCCTGTTTTCCAAGATGATTGATCATGGCAAAAAAACCCAAACCACAAAGCAAACCCACAGTATTGCTTTGTATTTGTAAAAGGCTCTGGAAATAATTCTGAAGGTTTTCTATTTTGCCCTCATTTTCATACGTGTGATTGAAGTGGTGTGTATGTTCCTAGTCAAGGGAGGGAAGCCGTTGATAGATATAAAAAGTGGAGATATGGTATTTAATTATTAACAGTTTCTGAGCTTACAGTTCAGATTTACAACGTTGGAAATAACAGGAAATAAAACTCCCTGGAAGGCAGATAACTTTTTAAAAAGTTTCTAGCTTTTTCTAGACTTGGTAAATACCAGATGCATTGTTTTATAGCCTGTGAAGAATACACCAAAGCCTGTACTAAAAGGCAAAAGGCTTCAGTGCTCTGCAAAGAAATGGGTGTGTGTAATGGTGCATTGAAGTGTGTGTATAAGGATGTGTGTGTCTGAGGGGGTGAAATTAAGCTTTCACTAATTCTTCTGGGTGATGATATGCCATATAAAACTTCGTTTAAAGTGCAAGCTTGGGTTGTAAATCCGGTTTTGCTCTAACAATGAGACAACCAGGCTGTTTCAACTTCATTGTTACGTTGCCAAGATAGTTAAAGCAGAAGTCTGTCTTTTTTCTTTCTTTCATGTCTCCCGAATGAAATTAATACTCAGGCAACCTATTTGTCTGCAGCACCTGGTAAAAGTGGCTCTGCTTTTATGTCAGCTAATGCAGCACAAAGTTACGTCTGCCCAGAAAGCTCAGGATTGTTCATTTGGTGCTGGATTTTATAGAAGTGGTTGCTTCTAATTTGCTCTTTTTATGAGATGATGTTTGTTCTGAAGGTTTGTTTATTGTTTGTTTTAGCGAGGCAGCCTGAAGCGTTGTGGCAGATCCACCAAAGGTTTTTTCCCAGCTGCCATTAACCCCACAGTTGGCTAATGTGAATCTTCCTGGCTCCCTGTGATAGGCTGACTTTGGAACTTAAGAAAACAGACTGTGCATCTTTGTATTTTTAAAATTGCATGGTATATTTGGATTGATTGAAATCTACTTGCATGCAAAAGTGATGCTTGCTCTCCCTTAATATACCAAAATAATAAGAAACATGGCTAGATGGTGTCTTTCTAAATTGTAGGAGAGCTGTGAATTGTGGCTGCTTCACTGCTGAAATGGGGCAGGATCTCTCAGTCACCAAGAATACACAATGACAGAATTGAACTTGATTGGTCAAAACAAACAAAGCCAAAAAGTAAAGCCTGTTGATTGGAATATAATCTTTATTTTCTGTTGTCAGCTCACCTGGAGTCCTGATCTCAGACCAGGATGCACTTGTGCCAGAGACATAACAGATTTACAACCAGTGTGTAATACAAGACAGTAGAGACAGATGACAAAGGACAGGAAAGAATATTCCTTGGTATTGCTGATGTCAATAGGCAAAGATTTAAAGGCTTGTAAGCCTGAAATATTTTTCCCTCTAGACCTCAATGCTAGAAAACTTGGACAAGGCAGGTGAAGCAGTCTTATATAGAGCTTATGGCCAACTCCCTTAATCCATGGGTGCAGCTTGGGAGGATCTGGAGCAGGAAGACGTTATTTATTCAAATTGTTGTCAGACCTCTGGATTCCTGGTGTCGTAGGCTAATGAGAGGACTGGTGTTTTGGTACTGAAACGAGAGTGGAAGGGTGCGAGGGCTTTGGAAGTGGAGATGGAGTTGATTGTACTGTTGTGGAATTGAGGCAAGAGCCAATGTGGGTAAAAAAAAAAGAGAGGCAAGGTGCATTTCTCAAGTCTTAACAGCTGAATTCTCATATCAGTCTTAATTTATGAAAGAGAAGGTTTCAGTATGTGTACTTTAAAGCCAGAGAAGACCTTTTTATTGTCTGGTTTTGGTGACATGTGTTGTGTTTGTATGTGTACATGTATATTGCAAGCTAGTTTTACCCAGTTACAGTTGCTTGAGATTAGTTAGAGTGGGTAATGGGTGTGAGCAAGGGACTGAGATGACCCTTTGACTGTATTTAGACACTAAAGCAGTTCTGTTGTGTTATGAAGGTAAAATTTAAGTTTTTTAGTACCACAGAAACCTAAAAAGGCTGTTGTTGTGGTCCATAGCTATTTTTGAGAACCAAGAATATGTAAAATATCCAGGTAGTTGAGATTCTAAAAGGTAGCAGAGATGTGGGTGGTTCTAGGGCATCTGATCTGAGGGAAGTTGCTTCTTGTGTCCAGATTTGATGATCAGGTGGAGTTTGAACTGGCTGTTAGGACACACAATCAACTTTCTAGAAAAGATAATGTGTACTGCTGAAAAATGGTTGACTCTGTGTTGTTCCTTAGCAGGGTCTTGTTTTTGTTGGTGACATTTACAGAAAGTGTGTTAAACCAGTACCTGAGATTCTTCTGAAAATTTTATAGCTGTTAAATGTTTGGGTATGGTAAGCACTATAAAACACTTCTAACCTACTCAGCCCTTTCTTTGGAAGAAGAAAGGAGACTGAAAGTTATTTCATAATTAAGGGTAAGATGTCCCACGCAAACTTTTGCTTTAAGTTTGGTTAGCTCTTAAGTGAAAAGGGGGATTTGCCTTTTTGTATCTTCTCCCAGGAGCCATGCTGATGTGTTCTTGATGCTTTCCTGTTCAGAACAAACTGATGATTTGACAAGGAGAATTCCGCAAACGTGATGTTTAAACTTGCACCTGAGTTGCAAGCTGCTGAGAACTTTATGGTCTAAAAATATTTTCCTTATTTTCAGATTAACTGCTGAAGTACTGATCGAGTTCTGCTATTCTTCAATGAGGAACTACAGGCTGATCTTTTGCCATAATCTTAAACAACCATAAATGACAAAAGAATGCTTGGTCAGTGAGGGCAGCTGGCGCAGAAAACGTTTTTCAAACTCGGCTGTTTAAGTACTCTGAGGTAGGTTTCTTAAACTACTTTACTTGGGCTATTAAAAAAAAGGTAAGCACAGATTTCAGTGTGTTTTATCTGTTCAAATTTATCAATTCATTAGTAAGAAGAGAATTACTTTTGGCTGCAGTGCTTTGACTAACAGTATGTACCATCCTCTATGAAAGTGATTGCTTGCAAGTATTAAGCAAGTATGTTCTCAGGTTTTTTTATTTATTTTGAAAAGACACAGGGTTTTTTGGCTAGAAGAAATATTTTGGTTTTGACAGGATAAAAGTTTAACTGAGTGACTTATGCTGCTTTTGGTAACACCTTTGTTATTTATCTAGATCCTTTATCAAGCCAAGACTTGCAAGTAACGCTTGGACTTCATCATGATAGGAAGGATGGCATCAGTGAGCATCTAGAAACTAGTTTTGGGGGTTTTATGTTCAGTAAAATTTTTGATTTGATGCAGGTGTTGAAAGCTTTGTTGTGTAGACCAGAAAAAGCAAAATGTTAGGAGTTGAATGCAGTGCAGTTTTGTGTCACAAAATACTTAATTATTTAGTGTAACTTAGGATTTTGGTTTGGTGTGATCCACTAGTTCCATTTCTTCTGAAGGGACTTTTGTGTTGGGTTTTCAAAGCCTGACTGGCAAATACTATCAGAAAACATGTGGATGAATCTAGCTATGCCAGAGTACCTTAGAACTTTAAGTAATGATGTTGTAATTAGAGTTTTCTGAGAAATTTCCTTTTCTGTTATACATATTCTTATCAGTCCTCTGTTGAAGATTGAACAGAACACCTCAGTAGTAGTCATTTATCTAGTTGGCTGTATTTGGAGTCATTACAGAACTTCTCATTAAATCAGCGAGCTGATTGAGAGAGTATTTGCATTAGATAATTAAACCCCATTGTGTTACAGATCAATACATTCAACAGTGCATGCTGAAGTATGATTTTTGGCTTTAATTCCTCTTATTGACAGAAAAGACAGCTTTGATTTTTGGCTGCAAAAAGATATGAGGAAGAGCTCCTCCCCTTCCTTGAGTAACTGCAACTCTGTTCTTGCTAACAAAATATTTGGAATTCCACTTGATGAGCTGCAGCAAGAAGGGCAACCAGACAATGAGGTTCCATTCATAGTCCGCCATGTCGTGGACTATATTGAGGAACATGGTATGTATTATCTTGCTGTGCTTTAAATAATAGATTTAGCTGTTATTCTTACATAATAGATTTTTTTTTAAATGTGATTTAGTTTAGGGTTTTTTTTGTGATACTTCCTTTCTTTACTCCTCCTGTTATATTTGATTACCACTGTTTTCTAGCTAACACTAATACAGTTAGCTCAGTAGGGAACTTCAGAGGCAGTGGTGTGGTTTGGGTACTGCTACCATTCTCCTTATCACTGCATTGTTAGCTGGCATCAGAATGTGTTTGAGTGGGAAGAGGACTGCTGGAAGTCTTGAAGAACTTGTCCAGAAAGTCTTTGACTCAATGTGTGAATTGTGCATATCTGGTTATTGGTATTTTCTGATATATTTGGCCATCCTAGATCTACAAGCTTATTTCTTTATCTTCTTCCTTACTCAGGGGGTCTGGAACAAGAAGGACTTTTTCAAGTCAATGGGAATGCTGAGACAGTGGAGTGGCTTCGGCAGCGATACGATAACGGAGAAGATGTGGACCTGGTTAAAGAAGCAGATGTACCCTCAGCTATTAGCCTTCTTAGATTCTTTCTTCAAGAGCTTCCAGAGCCAGTTATCCCAGGCAGTTTGCACACACATTTGATGCAACTTTCTCAAGGTAATAATTATTTTTAATTCAGTGTTTTTATTTTATTAACTTAAGAGCAAACCCCAATATTAGACTGAGATTCGTAGTGGTACTAGGGTGTCTTTGGTGTTCTGTGTAATAATGTGTGTATCAGGAGGCATTCAAAAATGCCTTTTCTTAGCAGAAAACCCAAGTAGGACTTTTTTAGGAAGCTCAGTCTCAATTCAGAGACACAGTTTTTCTCATACAGGTGAGTAATGAAGCTGCAGCATGTCCTGCTGATTAGTTCTGAGTGTTCCATGTTGAGTTCTGGCTGAGGGACCTGGGGTTGTTTAGCCTGAAGAAAAGGAGGCTCAGGGGTGACCTTATTACTCGCTACAACTCCCTGAACGGAGTTTGTAGTGAGATGGGGGTTGGTCTCTTCTGCCAAGGAGCAAGTGATAGGACAAGAGGAAATGGCCTCAAGTTGCACCAGGAGAGATTTATGTTGGCTGTTGGGAAAAACTTCTTCCATAAAAGGGTTGTCAAGCATTGGCCCAGTCTGCCCAGGGAGATGGAGTCCCCATCCCTGGAGGTATATAAAAGGCATGTAGGTGAGGTGTTGAGGGACAGAGTTTAGTGGTGGACTTGGTTGTGTTAGGTTAAAGGCTGGACTTGATGATCTTAAAGGCATTTTCTAAGCAAAATGGTTCTGTGGTGCTGTGCTCTTGTACCTGGATGCTGGACACCTTGAATCAAAGTTCTTTGACAGTTTCCCACCACTGATGCTTTAAAAGTGCTAGGGAATGCTTTTATCTGTATTCCTCTGAATTTCACTTCCTCTGCCTGTGCTTCCATGGCACTTAAAGCTTTTGTGTGGTAGAGCTCTCAAGCCCTATACTCATATCATATTTGCTCTCCCACTGTGGATTTTTTTCAGTTTAAAATTCAGTTGTAGGAGGAAGAAAACACCTGTCACCAGAATATTGTTGCTAAGTGTGGTTTTTCATATACTGCACAACCTTGTTCTGTCAAACTGACGCCCATATGTTGGCACAGTATTTTCTTTACCAATTCCCCACTTGTCTGTTGGTATCCACTCTCCTGGGTCTTTTGGCCTCTGCTGTGTTGAGTGGTGTTGGAGGTGATTCATAAGTTGACTAGTCAAAAGGTTTGTCTTGCAGCACTAGGTTATTAATGTCCTCAAAGGGGACATTGATTTTGGATGACATAACTGTCACTGCAGGAGCATTGCTCACTTTCCAGTGTCAGGTCGTGCTTCTCTCCAAGTGCTGGGCTTATTTTGCTTCATAAGGTGCACATTTGATTTAATTTTCTCTTGTTGAGTTTACTTCTGATAAGAACTTGATGGTGCTCGTGATAGTCCTGTTTGTTCAGAGTGGGAACAGGTTTGTGGGATGAGTAGGTACAGCTCAGTTTTCCTCTGCAGCTGGGCTGTATTTACCAAGTGCTGAGCTGGGGGATCATCTGCAGCAGTGTGAGGCTGCTTCATTTTCCTCCCTTGGTAACCCATATACCCTGAAACTTTGAATGTGAGGTGGTTACCTGGGTAGCTGGTGAGCAGAGGTTGAGTGTTGGTATGTGAGGCACTGAAGAGTCTTGTGCTAGAAACAGTTTTTTGGAAGCTGCTGACCAAAGAAGCTTGTTAAAGCTGAAGTTCTGTCTGGTTTTCATTCAAGTAAATGAGAAACTTAAGTGGATAGGGAATTTCATTAGTGTTACATCCACTGTTTGGTTGCACTGCTAATGTCATGGTTCATTGGATCTGCTTAACTAATAAACCATTTTTGTTTTGTTTTTTTTTTTCCCCCTCCTGAAAGAGATGATACATTTAAGGAATGCTGCTAGTTGCTCAGCTAGTACTGCTGTGGCCCTTGATTTGCAATGTTACCTGTCAGGGCTGGGAATGGGCAGAGGTGTGCTCACTTGGTGTGACAGTGTAATTCCCTTCTAAGACCCCATTTTTGCTGGGTGAAAATTGTTTTGTGTTTTTGTTTTTGGTTTTTTTTTTATCTTTGGATAGATGACTGTGGAAGGAGTTACATATGGGTTGTTTTGGGAAAAGAGCTGTTCTTCAGCATGGAAATCCCCATTTAGTTCCCTTTTGTTAAATAGCCAGAGAAACTTCACTTAAACTTGCAGCTTATTGTCTTTAGTGTCTTTTTTAAAATGTAAAGTAATCTTTTCAGAAAGATGTAAGGTTGCTTGTACTAAGGAAATCAAAAACACATAAACCTCTAAACTTCGTTTCCTGGTACTAAAATTAGAGTTTTGTTTTCCTCCTCTTACAGTTTGACTTTTGATATTTGGGCTGATAAGTATCACTCATTTTCCAGAGCTGCAATATCAGCTGCATTTTAGAGAGAGAAATTGCTTACAGAAATACAGAGGGTGATAGTGATTTTGGATCCGTATGTTGCTTCTGGTTTATGTTGCTTCTGGTTTTCCCCCTCTCAGGCAGGCCTTCCATATCCTTAGGTTAAGCTTGGTTCTCAAACCAGCTTCATTACACAACAAGGTGTGGCCTACATGCATCATTTGAGGCCAGTTCTGTGCAGGGCTAATAGTGGCTCCTCAAAGGCAAGTGATTTCAGTAACTGGAGTGTGAATTTGACCACACTAGGCCATGTGTCCCAGAAGTATGTACCCATAGTTTACTATCAAAGGACTTATTTACAGGTAAGAACATTCTCACTTTAGGTCTCTCTGTCTGTTGCTCAAAACCTAAATTTTAGGACAGGTTGACTGGGCAAAACATCTGCTTGTGCAGGATGGGCTGTCTGTCTCCTCTTGCTCTCTTTTCTTTTTGAAGGTCTGCATTGTGAGAGTATATTTTTAAGTTTTTTTTCTTGCTGTTCTGTTTCGTGAATGCATTTCAATATTATGTTCATGGGATTGTGTTACTGTGTTGAGAGAAGGGTTTTTCTGTTCCTGGTTACCTGTGTTCAGGTATGTGTCGGCTGTGTCTGAGCAGATGGCATCCTGCACAGTTACTGTTTGGGATCACTGTACATATGAGCAGGGAATTTACTCACTTCTTTGATAGTAAGGACTAGGATGACTCTCAGCTCTCTCATCTATAGAGGCAGAGTGACTGTTCTTCTTCAAACATCCTTGTCTTTTTCTAACTGATCTGAGAAGAGTTTTCAAATGCCTGAGAGAGAGAAGGGGGAGCCCTGTTCAATTCAGCTTTTCTCCTGGTTTGATTTCCTGACACTTCCTTTGTATGGAGTTTGTTAGGTACAAACAATTGTAAGCTCTTTGAACCGTGTTGCCTGTAAGGCTGATAATGTAATAAATGAGATTTATGGGGAGGTATTTTGAAGAAGGGCATAGTTAAATGTAGGGTGAGAATGAGGAAGGTTTATAGTGACCTTTTTTCAGGTCTGAAATCGAATCAGCAAGCTTCAAGCTAAGTATGTGTGAAGATGATTGCATTGAGATTGCTTGTATTCATCAGTTAACTATTATACAGGGAAGCAGAGTGGTGAGAGTGGGATGCTTGCAGAGGAAAAAGTGTCAAAGCAGCTGGGCTAAAACAGAATTTAACTAGCTTTTAAGTTAGCTCTATCTCTGGGGCTGTTATCTTTAGAGCTCTTACTGTTATATAGCCATGGTGAAATGAAAGGATATGGAGGAGCTATCCCTATGTAATCAGCAACCTGAGTGTCTGTTAATTGGGAAAACATGCTCAGAACTACTGACTGGATTTAGCAGAGGAGAATATGGGGGGAATAATTGGTTCAGGTTATAAATTTCTGCTTCATAGAAGATATTTAGTTTATAGTTTAATTTATCTTTAGGGAAAGTAACCTGATGGCTCTGCTCTGGAAACAAGACAGGGGAGGTGTGGCCCTTTTTCTGTTTGGTTTTGGTTTTGGTTTTTTTTTTTTACATCCTCCTGCCTCTTCACAACCCCTCCAAGCCTCTGCTGTCATTGAAGAGGAGTGACAGAATAGGAAATGAGTTGTCAGCCTCTCTTGGAAAGGTCAGACAGGAAGAGGCTGAGATGAGAGGATGAGATGCTGGGACAGATAGATTATGATGTACTACCACCACAAATACCCTGCAGATAAGTGGGCTGGACACAGATTTTGAGTTTGGGGTGGGGGTTGTTTTTTCCACTTCTTCCATGGAGAAATCTGACCACATTGGTTGTACTTCAGAAGTAATTCATTGTTGTCAGAACTAAAAAGTTGATCAATATAAAAGGTGCAATAGCAGATATTTCTGTGACTAAATTTCTGTAAAACTATTTTTTATTTCAGATTATAATAATGAAGATGAATTTGGAAAAAAGCTGAGGTTCCTCTTGCAGCAGCTTCCACCTGTTAATTACAGTCTGTTAAAGTTTCTGTGTAAATTTTTAGCTAATGTAGCATCACATCATGAAGAAATTTGGTCAGCAAGTTCTTTAGCTGCAGTCTTTGGCCCGGATGTTTTTCAGTAAGTTATTTGTAAAAGTTTGTGTAGTGTTTATGTGAATTTTTATGTGTACATTCTGTAGTCTAAAGTCTTTTGTAGACCATGGTTAACAGTAGCAAGTGTACAACATGTTTTGGGCAATATCTTTCTGTTCTCCCCACTCCCTCGCCCCAGTTTTGTTTTACAATTTTTGCTTGGATCTACACAAAAAAACTTGTCTGTGAGCCATGGCATTAGAAACCACTGATTTGATTGTTGCATTATTGTAACTATACTGACATTCAAAAATTTTAGAGATGGCATGCAAGAGAAAGCTGATCAAGTGCAAACATATACTGGGGTTTCCTCTCTGCAGGAAAATAGTTGAAAATAGTTATACTGACATTCAAAAATTTTAGAGATAGCATGCAAGAGAAAGCTGATCAAGTACAAACATACACTGGGGTTTCCTCTCTGCAGGAAAACAGTTGAATTTTAAATGTTCTTCATGAAGAGTTAATTGACCAAATAGCTGTTACTTTATCACTTCTAAAAATAAACAGCTTTATAATGCAGTAGTGTGACGATACACTTAAAATGTTGTGTGTTTGGAATGGATTAGGGATAACCACAGAATGGATCTTTAAGGTCCCTTCCAATCCAAACCAGTTCCAGCACCCCTGACATGGGCAGGGATGTCTCCTACCAGACCAGGTTGCTCAAAGCCCTGTTCATCCTGGCCTTGAGCACTTCCAAGATGGAGCATCCCCAACTTCTCTGGGCAGCCTGTTCCATTTACATCTAATCTAAATATACCCTTTTTCAGTTTAAAGCTATTACCCCTTGTTCTATCACTACATGCCCTTGTAAAAAGTCCCTCTCCAGTATTCTTGTAAGCCCACTTTAAGTGCTGGAAGGTTGCTATGGAGTCTCCCTGGAGCCTTCTCCAGGCTGTGGCCTGACCAGATTAGTTGGTCAACCCCAGCTCAGCCTGTTTTCATAGGAGAGGTGTTCAAGCCCCTCAGATCATCTTTGTGGCCCACTTTTCATTGGCTTCTCTGTCACTTGAAGTTATGTTCAGCTCATTCCAGGGACTTCCTGGATTGCTTATGCCCTGCTGTGTTGTCCCTCTGACAGATGTCAGGCTGGTTGAAGTCTGCCATGAGGACCAGGGCTTGGGAACGTGAGGCTCCTCCCATCTGTCTATAGAGGGCCTCTTCTGCTCTGTCTCCCTGATGGAGTGGCCTGTAGCAGAACCCTGCTATGATGTCATCTGTCCCTGATTAAAGGGAGCTTTAATCCTGGCCTGTAAGCTCTGGGTGGGCTCCTCATCTGTCCCCAGGTGGAGCTCCATGCTCTCCAGCTGGTCACTGATATAGAGGGTGACATCCCCTCCTCATCTCCCATGCCTGTCCTTCCTAAAGAGCATCAATTCTTCCATAGTGGTGTGAAGTGTAGCCCTTAGTCATAGAAGTTATTCAGGGGAGTTCTCTGGGGAAACAGTTGGATTGAGACTTTTAAACTAAACCAGCATTGAAATCATTAGCATTTACACAGATGTGGAGGATCTGAAAGAACAAGAAATAGTTAGCAGAATAATGGCTGGACTGCTGGAGAACTACTATGAATTCTTTGAAAATGAAGAGGAAGATTTTTCATCTACTAATGATTTAAGCTCAATAACTGAGCAGGTAAGAATATTTTAAATGGCAATATGTTATCACTTAAGTAACTGCTATACACATTTCTGTTTGTTAAAGATAAGTTGAAACCATTTCCTTTGGCACACTTTCCAGAAGTTTCTTGCAAACTGACACAAACCCTGGCATTTCCTTAAATGCATTTTCTTAACATAGATATGCCTGTGAAGTTGTTGCTGTGTAGTGAGCATAGCTATGTTATATTAAAAAATACATAAGAACTAAACCAACAATGGTATCCCAATGCAGATGTTGTTAAGCTGTATATAGGGTATAGCTTTTAATTACCTTTTTAGGAAAGGAGAACTGGTTTTTAAGCAAATGCAGAACCATGCTGTTGTTGGTGCTTTTCAGTAGTATTTCCAGGTGTGCCTTACAGAAACATGCAGGGTCTCGCATTCCACTCAATGATGTTATCAGTGGTGCTTCCTTATGCCAAATTTTTGGAGTGGTGTTTCTGATTCTAAGACTTCAAAACATCATCTTGATATTAGTGGGGAAGAGTGTTAAAATTAGAGAAATGAAGCCAAGTAGAAATAGTCTGGGTCCTGGTGTTCAGCTGTCAAGATTGCCAGATTCACCTGCCCGTGTGGCTGATGGTATCAGTCA